CTTTTGCACACATTTATTTGTCTGATGATCCCCTTGTGAAGCATGTCAAGACTCATGATGAAAACAAGGCATTCCACAGTTTTCTTGAACGAGCCAAGGATTTGGGACATAATCTCAATATCAGTGTTGATTTTGTTGATGGTTTTTCAAGGAGAGGCTTTCTGGACGACCACTGCATCTGTTTTTTGTGCAGTGTGTTGAGAAGATCAGCAACCCTGCAGAGTCCTTCGCTTGGATGAAGCCGGCTGGCCTGAAACGTGAAACAGAAGGTTTTCTGTTTGCTGCTCAGGACCAGTCACTTCCCACTCGAAGCCGCCAATGTGTGATTTTGCTTCAAAATGTAAATATGAAATGAAGATTATGTAATGAATTTAATGAGACTGTCCAACACATTGTCAGTGGATGCCCAGCTTTGGCACAAATACAGCATCTTAAACGACATGATGGTGTGTAGCTCGATCATTTTATTACCGTCTTCGCCATGCTTGTGGTTTTGACACAGAGGTCCACCCATGGTACGACCCGGAATATGTTGAGGACGTCATGGAAAATGTTAAATACAAAATTCTTTGGAATAGGCCCATTTACAGCCTCAGACGTATCCAGGCACAAAAAGCCAATTTCGAAAAAATCAGCACACAACACATGTATGAAAATTAATGTCAATCATACAGAGAAACTTCACGACTGAAGTATACCTGGTGTTAGATGACGTAATGTTATCAATTTGTGCATGAATTACCCCGTTGCTTGTTCACAACAATGAAGTATCGTGACGCTATGTCACTTCAACTGATCATTCAGCCTTGAGAACAGAAAACCAATACACATGTGCAAACATCGGAAACTTAGTACAATCGATCTTTCTATAGGTAATATAGTCCATGTAACATATGGGATAGATAAACTCAGTTCAGATAGTAAAACCAGACGGCAGTATCAAAATAAAGTGATAATTTTATCAAGTGTAAGTAAATATTTACTGGGTGATGAATTGGAAGACAGATGAGATTTTCTTTAACGAATTATAGATCATAGTAGATATATAGGGATTAATATTGTTGCTCGAGGCATAGTATTCCCATACGTGGTTACTGACACCAAGAAGTCTTGTATATCCCTTACACATGGCCCATGCAGGTGTGTGGAGACTTGGACGCTGAACATGGCTTCTTCTTGGTCTGTAATATTACGCCTTGTTAGGTCACCGCGGTCGTGGGAGTGCTGTGATCTGAGATCGGCCGTGTGCTCTGTGGTCGTCAAACCGGTTGACGTTGTCGTACATGCTTGCGCTGGTGATTCATGGTACATATTGACATTAGCGTCATCATCCATCAAACAGCCGCTGTCACAAGTCATCAACAAAATCGTTTGGGGCGTTCACTGAATACTTCTCTCTCAAACACATGTTACACGAGACTACGCGAGAAATCAGTTTGTGGTATATAGATGTGTTACTGTCTATCAACCTTTAGATATTTACGCCCGTGAGGATCCGGGCCAGAATAGGTCTTCAGCAACCCATGCTTGTCTTTAGAGGCGACTAACTGAATCGGGTGGTCAGGCTCGCTGTTAATGCGTGTCATCGAAGCTCGTGATACCAATCACTTGATTGTCTGGTCCAGACTCTATTATTTACAGACCGCTGTCATATAGCTGGGATATTGCTGAGTGCGCGTCAAACAACTAACAAACTTAAGATATATACTACTCAACATGTTCTAAGGACCAATATTCACCTTTAGTAAAGTGGTCCTTAGCAAATGTTGGGCAGTATATATACCACTAAGTCATGCATGGCTGACGCTTATAATATGCACGATTATCTAGTGTATCATATCTAATATCTCTTGTTTTGATATCATATTTATCATAGTAGAAGGAAGATCAATTAATGAACCTGAAAGAAACAAACGCACAACGATCAATTAACGTTTGTTTGTTTGTTGTTTATCAGCGCACTCAGCAATATTCAAGTTATATGACGGCGGTCTGTAAATAATCGAGTTTGGACCAGACAATCCAATGATAGACATCATGAGAATCGATTCTAGCATTTGGGATACGATGACATGCATCAACTAAGTCAGCGAGCCTGACCACCCAATCCCGTTAGTCGCCTCTTACGACAAGCATAGGCGTCCCTTGGGCGTCCCTTGGGCGTCCCTTGGGCACGCCAGAAACCTATGATTGTGCTCCTATGATTATACCCGTGCTCGTGGTAAACGCCTGAGACCTGCATCACTTCGGGCTTTCCTCCCACTTTAAGCTGACACACCGTGATATAACTGGAATACTGTTAAAAGCGGCGTTAAACCCAACTCACTCACTCACTCACTCATTTTGACTGAACACATTACCAGCTCAAACTTAAAGTCTGCTGACGGGCTGACCTCACGCTACATCTGATCACCTGGACATCGAGTTACATCTATGATACAAGACTAAACTGACATTTAGTCCCATAAGTGATCTTATCTAAAAATATGTATCTACAAAACAAAATTTAAAAAAAACAAATGGAGAACAATCCTTAATTTCAGCTGAGGCAATCTAGACTTGCCAAATCATGCTAGACTTGAGTTGGACTTCTTATTTAATTGATTCTGTTGGGTCTGGGAGGCCGACTAATACAAGACGCGGATGTCTGATTCAGCAGATCAAATCTACACACCTATGGGTTCAAACAGCGTGATTATCAGGGCGTGGACATTACAAAGATGACACTGTAGATAATATGCTTTTCCTATATATTCATATAACAAGTTGCGTTAGATCACGGTGACATATATACAACAATAATGTATTTAATGGACAACACGGAGCAAACTACAGTCTACTGGCAATACGGAGGTCAGCGTCACTGATAAAATCTGTGACCATGGCGCGATCGCCTCTGTACATATCATCAGAGTACCAAAGGTACAGAAGCTCACCTTTATTAGTGCTACAAAACGTGGAGACACCATGATGCGCTAAACAACCTTAGTTGTCCTGACACCATAAACTTCAACACTTGATATAAAACAATGAATAGTCACTGACATTTTTCAGAGTTTTTGTTTTGATACTTATGGATATTTAAACAAGCATGCTGAGATATATGATATTACTGGTTGATATTCAATCGATTTTACAAACCATATGTGCTGTACCTGTCGTGACGGCCATTTTGATTTTGTTTTTCTTACTTCGCTCTATGAAAGGATATTAGGTACATCCTCCAGTGATTCTGAAAAAAACAATGTCCAATACTTTAGGGGAAAAGGTTGACGCGAAAGTTGTATTCTTCACTACAAAGTGTGGCGGAGTTAAACTTTAAAGAATGAACTTTTTGGGTAACTAGGAGAATATAGAAAATGCCATGGAAATGTGATACTTATATATTAAGTAGTTGTGACGGAGCAGATTCCATTGCTAACAGACGGGCGGCTGAAGAAGACCTATTGCATAAGTTTACTTTGACCATGCCTAGGTGGGCTACAACGGTTTAAGTTGCTTTTGTTCCGTTATGTGCACGGCGACCATTATGGAATGCTCGACGAGATTCTACGATTTGCACCGACAACGGGAGATGATAAAACATCAGAATACCAAAATATCAATTACTAAAATAGCAAAACCCCTTTAATCCGTACGGTACCGTTCATAGCGAAGTAGTCCGGATTAATAGATGTCCGGACTGACTAATTACTGTTCTGGCCTTTTTATACATGACTCATTCGGAACACACGTTTACATCCGTATATAGTGTATAATTGCATGTGGCTTTGTATAATGTAGTGAACACACTCCATTAAACAGCTGTTAAATGGCACAAGCATATAGTATACAATCCCGCTATGTACACCTGGGGATTGTAAACTGAAGGCGTCTATGCGTGGCTCCACGCCGGGTTGTATTGTAGTCTACAAAGTTTTGTTACGTAATACCCCCTTTTCCAACCAATTAATGTCTGTAAAGATCCATACCGTGTACTAAATCAGTTAGAGGTACAGAACAGGAGAAAAAGCATCACATCTTTAATGTAAAAACTCCTTTCTGGTAAAAATAAATGCCTGCCTTGAATAAACGCTCAATGTTTGGATCTTCTGAAATACATTAACACAGGGCGTTTATTCAAGCATTTACGGTATTAGTAATATTTTTCAAGTGATTGTCATTGGGAACTGAACGGAAATAGAGTGGGCACGCGCTTAACACTGCGCTACCTCACGTAAAGGGGTATGTTGCTTCCGCACAAGGGGCACGGGTGGTCCAGTTGTCTAAGGCGCCGCGATTCGCTGTGCAGAGTTGCGTCCCTTCGGACGCGCCAGAAACCTATGATTGTGGGTTCGAATCCCGATTCGCCCCAATTATGTTTCTAGGTTTGTCAGCACCATACCCGTGCTCGTGGGTTTCACCGAAGTTGTAAACGTCTGAGACCTGCATCACTTCGGGCTTTCCTCCCACATTAAGCTGACACGCCGTGATATAACTGTAATACTGTTAAAAGAGGCGTTAAACCCAACTCACTCACTCGACACAATGCCGTTAATAGTAACAAGTGTCGGTATGAATTTAAACAACACACAGCAAATACGCAGATAACACTGTGTCTACTGCCTTTATCTGTCCTGCAGCAATAAAACGTCGGCAGCATCAACACCATCATGTTCACACGTTGTACCCTTTCGAGGAGTCAAAACCGAATCTTCAGCGAGACGCGCGCGAAAAATCACTTACGGACATCAACAAAATATATTTCCAATCAACATGAATTGTGCTTCAAATATCGTCTTCCATCTCATATTGATCGTTGTTGACAGCTATATATCCTTCCAGCAATTGGCACGTGTAAATCGCTGATGACATCTTGACCGCCCGGTTGGCCCCGATAATGTGCTGTCCACATCAAAGGATGGTCGGTGACTTTCACGCATTAACTGCCTGCAGAGCGTCCGGTGTTGTTTGTTTTTATTGGGAACACGTGGCTATCTATTTATATCCATTAAGTCACGTGGAAGCAAGATGGCGACGCACAGGTGATTGCAGAAGGACTTGGATAAACGGACTACGAAACATGAGATTTCTTGTGAGGGCAGCAGTTGCAATGGGGTGATAGCGAGATGACTTCGGTGAAAGTCGCTGTCCGGGTCCGCCCCGTCAACCAGCGGTAAGCATTTTACAGGGTTCAACGTCAGGGTCGCCTGATGGGGGTTTCAGTACAGACATCATCGATACCCTTTCCTGTTAGTGTTATGTTCACTGAGTTAAAAACTTTGCCCTTGGCGTTGATAATGCATTGTATATGTTAAGTATTATCTATCGGTGCACAAGTGATATGCTTATATTATCATGTTTATATGTCGCGTGCCGTACACGCCTCCATGGCAATGGTTACTTGTATCCATTGACCTGTTTGGGTGACACATTTTGCAGCCAAATGTCAACCGCTTGACCTGTTGCTGGAGAACACTGTGCACTTCCGCGTAGAAGACTTTCGCATCAAGATTATGTTTGATCACTGTCCGTGATATATATTATAATAACGACAGGGTCATTATTTCGTTAGTGATCATTTGCTGACAAGAATGGTGTAGGTGCAAAGTGCATAAAGTGTATCACCAAAACAATTGCCATGACAATGTCTCAAATATTAATGATATTAATTACAGTTGAAATGTGAAAAAAGACGTTATTGGGTTATTCATATCGTATAACCGGGTTATAAAAATGTGTTATAAAACAATGTTGTTGTTACGTTATTACATTGATCATGCCATCTTTGTCTTGTGTATAAAGGTGTTACTTTGTTGAACATTAAGTTACATTTTGCAAACACTCTTTATCAAAGACATCTTCTATTCTCTAAGTATAAAGTTTACATACATAAATTGGAATCTTTAACAAATGCAAAATATTTTATTCATAACTTTTGACTACTAATTTCAATGAATTGGGTTTTTTACTGAAGGGCCGTCCATATTTCTCCCCCATTAAGCCCACTCACTGTGATGTGATGGAAATACAGTTCAAAGCGACTTTAAACCTAACTCACTCACTCACCATGGAAATAACAATGACTTAATAAATATTGTGCATACTGTCTGAAAATAGTATTTACCAATTAATTATATTATTAACGGATAACCTCAAGATGCATTTCTCATATCATATGATACAGTATGGCTATGTATCTAAACCTTTGTTGAATGAATGAATCGTTACTTCCCAAAGTTAATATGATACAATGTGCAGGAAGATGTTGGGCATTTACTAGATTACCTACATACCTAAACACCTAAACACACCCTAAAAGTAAAAGCATCTGTGTTATGAAAACTTTTTCTCTTGAGAACTTTCTGTTTAATGGTGGCAAATCGTAGTGTCATGTCTTTGATCAGAACAGCTGATTTGGCAGCCAGTGTACTACAGCAGTGAACTACTTTGAAGCCCACCTGACTGACAGGTCACACATGTGGGAATGTCCCACCTGTGGCCATAGCAGCGTGTGTGTCGCTTTCCTAAATAGTTTCATGATTGTAAAAGTTTTGGAGACATCATCTTTATCATCGTGTATAAAATACCAAGATAATTAAAATACTATCATTAAAAAGTATGTTTCTCAGCATTTATCACTTTGACATATATCACTCTATTTGAGTTAGGCTTGGAATTCATGAAGTTAAATCAATCGTCCTTAATTCAGAACAATGAGGCCAAAGGCCCTTTGTGCATGGAAATCGGCTATGGCACTTTCCAATAACAGAATCCAATTGTATTAGAATTTACATTACATTTGGTTGTTACAGGCCACAGATATTAATTTAAAGTACTCACTCTTAAAGATAAATCAACAATTAGTATTAGTGTTTTGTGTCCTGATGTTTTAAGGGGGGTAACTGTGTTTTCCTACCCCTGCCATTCTACTCATTTCAACGGTCATAAACAGGACCCAGGCGTGAGAGTTCAGATTAAACTTAAATTTGCACAATCAAGTCAACAGTCAACAAAGGCCTGGATAAAAATAAAGTTCGGTTTGTTGCCTACATAATAGTTATTTGGCTACTCCACCCTGTCCACTGAATCAATAAATGTAATATTTACATATCTCTTTATTATGGATTCAAGCCTAAAGCAATAATAAAAAAAATTAGAAACAAGTTTAGAGTTATTTTTATATACCTGATATATTTGATGGGTTAGAAGAATGAAGAGGTACATCTTCTATAAAGTCTGATGAAATATTTTATATGTCAATTTTTCAAATAAAGTTTAATCAAATACATTTCATATTAAGTCTCAAGCCACTGCAAACAACAAAAGGAAAAGCCCATCTCTGAAAGAAGTAAATCATGTACATGATGTATACAGACATACATGTTACCATAACAACAGGAACCATTCTGCACTTCAAATATATTAAACTAAAATTAGCATTTACTTTTTCCCCATAAATTCGACCAAATGAAAATGCTTTTGACCAAAATAAACAATAATATTGATATGATTGAACTATATAAATTGTTTTTTTTGTATGGACATGAATAATAAAAAAGTAATTCCATGGCATATGATTTACTAATCATCAATGTATTTTGCATTATGTCCCCATAGCCTGGACCAGACGATCCAGTGATTGACAAAATGAGCATAAATCCATGCAAATAACATACAGTGACATGCAATCAACCAAGCCATTAGCCTAACTATAGTCTGGAAGGTAATTTAAGGTACCGACGTTTACTACAATATCTATATCACGCACGCACGCACGAATACGGTGTCAGCGTTGGGCGTCTCAATGTGCGTGATTCCCGTGCACCCTTTCAAGTTGAGTTGATTGGTTCAATTGTCATATGGCCCTGTGACGCAGGTGTAGCATTATGCAGGGGTAGCATTATGCAGATGGCTGTTTCAATGAATGCTCGTTCCACCCATGACGAACAGGTCTGGTTGTTGATGAAATATAGTGATAGCTAAATAGACCGATGTTTATTCATGCACCGATTGTCTTTAAATGTATTATCCAGTTATGTATGACTGTTTAATAATCTCATACCAACTTTGACTGGAGTAGGTCCTATAGTTTTTCAGATATTGTAGTAAATGTCGGTACCTTAAATTAACTTCCAGACTATACCTGGCCATTTAGTCACCTGTTACAATAAGCACAGGTTATATATATTCTTTCCTGGATTGCCCATGGGTTTACTTGTTGACTGAATCATTCTGGGTATACAAAAGAGACATGGAGGTTACCTTGTTGTGTTTACTATGAAGAATATATAAATAAATTCTCTTAGTTAATATCACCCTCAATTCTTCATAATAAACACGGAAACATGTAGAAGAACAATCTGTGTCGTGTTATTATTTTGTGATTTCTCAATCTCAATAAAATCAGATCTTAGTTTTCACTACCACTAAACAAAGATCTGAGGACATCCCATTACGGGTCATGTCAGAACGACCTTTTTTTAATTTTGACCGACCTATGAAATGACTGACAAGAAATCAACATTAGCCAATCGGAAGGCAGCTTTCTCGAGCTTTACGACACTGGTTTCAAACTGGCAACTACTTTCGAAACATATTTTGACGTATTCTCGATTAAAAATGTTAAAACTGATAAGAAGAACATTCTGGAATGGCTTATAGATGGCCTAGATTGTATGGATATAATCATAAAACCCGTAACTGTCATTCGGAATACCCCGTGTTAAATATTTCGTGGTTGCATGATCAGAAAACACATTCCGACTGTCACTTTCACGATCTGGTAAGCGACGCTCTGATTGGTTGGATGAAAGGTCGTTCTGACGTGACCATGAATGGGATGTCCTCAGATCTTTGTTTAGCGATAGCGAGAACTAAGATCTGATTTTAATGAGATTGGTGATTTTTTTGCGTATGTGCTACTGTACATCTGTGAATCTCACCACTCAAATATCTTTTGTTTTTCAAAACCATTGATGTCTTTTAATAATGAGACTCGTATGTGAAATAAACTACCAAAGTAACTTACAACTATCAAATAATTTCTTGTGGTAGCATCCTTCATTATGATAAACATTGTAAAACAGTGAGTGCTTCTTGGTCAGAAAGATATTGTGAATTATGTTCATCTTTGAAAAAACCCCAACCAAGATGAAAGGATTGGCATAATCGTGGAGATCATATTTTCAAACATGGAACAGACAGATACATGCATTTGTTTTCGTATTAATCTATATCCCATTTAATCATATTTTAATTCTGTAATGTACTGAAAATTGTGTTGTGTATTATTTATTTTGGACAGTAATTTTGACTTCACTGTATATAATTTGTTAGTGTACTTTATGGAGCTGTAAACAATTCAGTGATACCTATGATATCATCGATACTTGAATCATCAGTTTGTGAGATTGTGTAACGCTATAAATAGAACAGGAACTAATAGAGTTACCTCCCATAATGGCAGAAATAGCAAAGTGCCACCTGTAAGCATGGCAGAACACAACAACGTAGTAGCTGACGATGCGCCGACTAACTGTTAAATTTAATAACCATCCCTTCATTTAAAACTGTTTTGATCTTCTGGTTTTCTTTGTTAAATTTTAGAGATGTCAATACATTAATGTATGAAGAAAGAGGTTTTGTAACTATATTTCAGTGATTTCATTGTTTCTTACGTATTTGATGTGGTGTATCGTGATACCAGTAGTATCGTCAGTCCGTATTGTTTATATGAATCGCATCGCAAGATACCAGGCGATACTCAGCTCTAGTACTTTATGACCTCAAGATCAGCAGTACACAATAGAATTGTGTTAATTTATACAGCATCATTTTGATTGATTAAAATATTCTGAGGTCAGCTTATTGGGGAAAGTGTGTTGTATGCTATACACTCTATCGTTTTAATTATATATGATGAATGTGTATCTCACCATCTCATTGCCTTGTTTTACCTTATATAAGGTGCTCCACTACATTATTTTATGTGTTTTATCATCTTGTTGTATAACATATTCCCCTAGCAAGGGAGTTAACTGACTGTAAAAGTCCAGCTTCCTCCCTTGCAGAACTCGGCTGGAATTATGGAGTTATATTTTGGCTGGAGTAATGAGTCTATGCAAAGTCCAATCAAAATCACGTAACAAAATTGACATCTGGTTTGTAAACTGC